TAACGATCATCCAATGCTTTAGGACTTCTTGGTGTTCTAGAGTGGAAAATGTAGAAATAATCAATTCATGAGCTGGACTGGATTTTAAATCCTGAAGCACCTGGTTGCAATGCTTTGCCCTTATGTCATCATCCTTTTGAAGTTGTTTTTCTCAGAAATGATACATTTCATCCTGATTCCCCTACCATTAGAGGCAACATCTATACTATTAATTATTTTAAATATTTAGCCTATATTTGGATTCTAAAAATTAGCTTATGATTTTTACGTTATTTGATTATTAATATAGTATATCTATTAATATTCAGTTAATGGAAATCTGTTTGTAGAAGTAGGTGATATGATAAGCATGTAATTATAAATTAAACATTGTTGTGAAAAAAAAATATATATATATCAGTTTATCACTAGTTACAGGCAAATAATAACTTTAGGGCAAGCTGGGTAGCTCAGTGGACAAAAGCACCTGCTTAGGCAGACGCAGAGACCGGGGTTTGATCCCCAGCCTGCCATGCTAGCCCACACCCAGGGTAAGCTGAGATGGTGAATGAGACTGGGCGTGATGGTGCATGCGTGTAATCCCAGATCTTGCAAGGCTGAAAAACAGGAAGGATCACTACAAGTCCGATCTGTGTAATGAGACCCTGTAGATCCTGTACTAAATACATAAAACAGATAATTTTATTTTAGAGGACATTTCAATTAGAGGAATAATTCTTTTGAAAATTACAATGATACCATTTACATCCTAGTATTTTGGTGCAAAAAGCAAAGTAATTCTAAAAAATTCTAAGAAGCAGAACTCTTAGTTATAGTTTTCTTATTAAGAGTTAAATTATGCTTATTTGAGAACATTCTGTCTTTTGATTTGTTGATTGACTTTGAAGAACTCGGGAGATCATGCAACTATGTTTAAGTTGTAGAGGATGCTGTTAAGAGGGAAACAAGCAAATGATGAAGAATGGAAAAACAGAACCTTAGATTACCTGAATTTTTCGAAGTTTATTCATGTGTTCATCTAGCTTTTGACAATGCTCTAGGACCTGTGAGGAGAGCTTCTTCCAGCGTACCTCAATCTCTTCGAATTCTGATTGATATTTCTTGCTAATTTCAGAAGGCGCTTTCTTTGACATCTCTTTCACAGTGGAGCTGAGATAGTTGAGGCCACTTTGTTGCTCTTGCAGAGAACTTTGCAAAGCCTCAAAATTTAAAAGAAAAAGAATATTTACACTAACTGATGAATAATAATTGACAAGTTTCAGTTAAGTTCAGTGCTTTTCAAATAAAAGCTATGCAATCAAATTATAAATGCCATAAATCAATTAAAATGTGAAGAGCAATTTCAATTTCTTTATTTCCCTAAGGTTAGCTTGTACATTATTTAGTGATATTTTGTTTTAGAGTATATGCCTTTTGTTTATTTGGGTTTTTTTGATTTGTTTTGTTTTGTTTTCTTTTTGGAATAAGGTTTTGCTACATAGTTGAAGCTGGTCTTGAACTCACTATGTAGTGCAGGATGGCCTGGGACTCACAGCAATCCTCCTGTCTTGGACTCCTGAGTGCTGGGATTACAGGTATGTGCCACTACCCCTTGCCTATTTTTATAAACACTGTCAAATATGTTGACAGCTTTCTTATGGATACAAAGAATTTTAGCATACCTAATTTTATTGAATACTGTTTATGTTATAATTACATTTATGATGCAGTTATTGTGGTTTAACTATGTAAAATTTTCAATCTCCAACCATCTTGAAATATAACTTAAAATGTCAATTTGTGGGATTAAAATTTATTTATTTGTGATTATACTCATCTAAATAAATCATAGAAGGCTAGCCAATTACTGTCAATTAATCGAAGTTTCATATTTTTAAAAGGATATCATATCATTTTGAATTATTAAAGTATATTCTATGGTTGTTCAGGAAAAATTTATAATATTTATTTTACATGTATTCTGCATAATATGTGCAATCCACTATGAAAAGTAGCCTACCTTTAAGTTTTTCCCTACTTAACCATTAGTTAAATGATACTTTCTGCTACTAAAGTACTAAAGTCTCATGTAACAAATGAAAAAATCTTACCACTTGGTATTTTACATGAAATTTAAAATATTGACCATGTTATATGTACACATTTATTTTCTGTCTTTTATAATGTGTCATATTATGTAAATAATTTGTTGGACATAAAAGTTTTCTTGTTGCATAGGATCCTATGTTATTTTCTGCTACTTCATTTATATTTCTTTATTTTTCTTTCTTTTCTATTTATATTTCTAATGTATATTTAATCACATTTACATTTTACTGAAAACTTTCCTTTGACTTATTTTAGGCAATATCAGACATATTACTACATTTTAATCTCTGCCTTGCATTGAGAACCTTTCCCTGCATCATTAACTATGTTCAAAAGCTATAAATTTCATTACCTTTTCCAGTTTATCTAATTATCTAATTATTAATCCATTTTGAGGACTACAGATTCATTTATAGCTTTCCAATTTTGTGAATTATATCTCTATCTACTTATTTATCATCTATTTTTACCTATCTACCTCTCTTTTTGTGTATATACTATTCATTTCCATAAGATTAAGATTTCATGAAAATTATATTTATGTATAAAAGTGATTGGTTTTACCTGTTTTTTTTATTTTTAGTTCCGGGGATTGAACTCAGTACCCTGTGCTTGTCAGGCAAGCACTTATTCTACTGAGCTATCTCCCCAGCCCAGTATTACCTGTTATTAGAAAGGATTGCACAAACTTCCATGGCCAACTTTACATTAAATTTACATTCCAACATTGAATGAGATGTTTAGCTCATCACTTACAAAGTTGTACTCAGATCTTTTGTGTGTGAACAGTTTATTATGTGAAAAATAATGTCTCAAAATAAACGTGTACTTCATGCTTTACAATTCAAGTTACAATTTTTCACATAGGATCAACTGGTAATGTCACCTTTTGGTAGCTTTCTTATTAAAATTTTTCTTCTTTAAAGTTACAAACAAATTTTCCTTGGGCTCTTTTTTCTTTACAAATATTTCTGATGTTATTACAGTGGTTGTTAATACATTCATTGATTTTTTTGTACTCTTTCATCATGTTTTAAAACCTTTATAATTTTTTCTGAAGTTTTCTGAATTTTTAGTGTGCATGTTAATTTTCTAGGTCTTTTTAAGAAGGGTTTTTGTTTTCTGAATAATATATATGAACATTCTTTGCTTTCTTTTTTTTCTCAGTGGCAATGTTTTTCATTGGTCATATACTCATTAGGTTTTTCATTTTTGCTATACTAGTACATGAATTTTTGTTATTGTTGAGACAGAGCTTTTCTTTTCTTTCTTTCTTTCTTTCTTTCTTTCTTTCTTTCTTTCTTTTTTTTTTTTTCGGAACCGGGGATTGAACTCAGGTCCTTGCGCTTGCCAAGGAAGCGCTTATTCTACTAAGCCATTTACCCGGCCCTGAGACAGAGCTTATCTATGGAGATCAGGCTGTCCTTTAAGGCCCATTCTGGCCTCAAACTCATGGTAATCTTCCTACATGTGTACTATCACACACAACATTCCTCTACTTTCTAAGCGTTGAATTGTTGTATTGGAATTCACATTTTTTCAAAATATTATTTAACCTTCTAGCAAGGAATTATGATATTATATTTAAAATTTAAAAATGTTTTATTTTAATTCTCAAAATATGCATATATATTATCTCAGCTCTTAAGTATAACTCATGAATATGTTTTCAAATCCCTAAAAGATGGAACATACTGCATAGACAATTTGGAATCAATGAAAAATATATTTTATCATCTCTTACAAGTTATTTCTTTCATTTCACATGTATTTAAGACTATTAAAATGGTTACTAAGATTCAGATTGTTTATTACAATGTTATGCTTTAATTGGTATTTTAATCAAAATAAATTTATAAAAATATTGATTGCATCACTACCATTGGGGAAATGAATTATTAATAAGGAAGCAATAGGGAAAATAATATTGTTATAGTAATCAAAATTAATGTTTGAAAAATTATAAGAACACACACTTCATAAAAATACATCATAATTATCTTGAATGACATGTTTTTATTTACATGCATAGAGAGAGAAGTAAAATTCATAAATTATATTTTTAAAGCTGTATCATCATTATTTCAACTGTTATCATTTGTTATTATTTAGTTATAATTTTTAAGGTTACAATAAGGAGAACTCCACTGTGTTGATTATAGCATCTAAATATCTACAGACCTGCATCTCTCCAAGTCTCTGCTCCATGATTTCATATTCGGTGACACTAAGCTGAGGTATGGAGAGTTTGGTTTCTGACTGCTGGATCCATGTCCGGATGGTACTCATTGTCTCCTGGTAGCGCATAGGTGGCAAAGTGTCACAAACTTTGTCAAAGAGAAAGAACCAAAGAAGGAAAGAGAGATACAGGGAAAGAAGCAAGAAGGGAGAAAGGAAAGTAGGGAAGGAAGGAAGGAAGGAAGGAAGGAAGGAAGGAAGGAAGGAAGGAAGGAAGGAAGAGGAAAAAGAAAAAAAGAAAATTATTCAATCATTTTAAACTTTGTCATGTTTTCTAAGTGTCAGCAAATTTAATCATGCTACTAATTTTAAATATTAATAAAATATGACAACATGAAGTACAGAGTATGATCATGAATTTGAAGACAAATTCCTACGATAACTCAAATATTTCTGGAAGCTGACATAAAGTACAGTGAATTTTCAAATAAGTCTTGCAAACTTTGTATTAATAGGCACAGTAAGATCAAGAAATGGAGCAATAGAGAAGCTGAATAATTTGTACTAACCATTCAGATTGCATTTGGAGAAACTCCATATAGTTCACTTGCATGTATCATTGAAGGCTACTTCATTTCCATGCTATCATTTGCCTCTGGAGAAAGCAGTATCATCCAAAGCCCTTGATATTTCAAATTATATCATGCAACTTTGATTTTACTTAAATGAAACCAATTTATGTGTGCTTAGTATGTATCCAGAATTCTACAAAAATTCAACAATTATTGTTATTCTCAAATCTTAAAATAATCAGTGAGACAGATACTGTTAAATCCACTAATAACTGATGAAACTGCAGCTATTAAAAAAAGATCAAGCAATTTGCTTATTGTCAAGTACATAGTGTAGGAGCCAGAATTTAAATGGAGGCCCATTTGACTTCACAGTAAAAACCATGACCAAATGTATACTTAATCTGAGAAAATACACACTTGGTAGTGGTTGCACATAATTGGTAGCTCTTTTGATAAATATTATATAGTATGTAAAA